AGTAAAATGGCAATAATGTGTCTTGCCTGTTATGCTTTCCCTGATTTCCAGCTATTATTATATTTGGAAATTTGTTTATACACATTTTCGCATGTGCTTAATAATCAGATAAAAGAAATGGAACGGCGACAAGCCTGTAATTGCAAATTAATAACCCCGAGGATAAGATAAGGACGTTACAATCTTCATATATGACACCTATAACATTTGCATCCTCAACTTTCAAAATGGACAATTTGCATTCTGAGTTTTAATATTACACTTCTAATTACATATGCAATTCACCATATTTCCATTTTCTTTCCAAAATTACCCCTATCGCTTTCACTACTCATCCACCCAAAAACACCCTGACCCTCACTCTGTCTTCTTCCTCCGCCATCATCGACCAAAGGCCGATCTTCATAACTTAAATATATTTGCTGGCTAATAATTGCTTCTAGGTTGTCTTGATACAGAGCAATGGTGGCATCGGTCATTTTTGGCCAGCTGTAAAGACATTCAACTTTTCCGCTTTTTATCCATAAAAAAATTCTTCAACTTATTGAAAAAATTGAATATGAAAAGGTTCTCTCGAAACACCTACTAATCTTTCTTAATACCTACTACTCTTTCTTATTGGAGGATGACTGAATCATTCGGTAGAAATGTGATTATATATGTTTGTGTTAGAGATATAGATATATTTAGGAGATTTTGCCTTGATTCTAATTTGATGTAATTGATATTTTGTTACTTTAGGTAGTTAACCTCTTAAGCCTATAAATAAACACATGTACTTTTCGTTAGTATTGTACATAATATTATATTTTTCTATCACTATAGTTCTCAACTTCGTATCAGAGCTCAAGTTGCCAACAAGTCTGGACCCAACAGTCACAAGGGAGAAATACGAGTTGTCATGGCCCCAACCCAAGCCTCGATGTGTGAGGGTAGATTGTTCATGTTATCCCATATCGATTGTAGAATGGGCTAGTGGTCAGTTTATAACTGTGAGGGAAAACTTCACCCTTCGAGCTAACTTTTGGGATGAGAGAGCCCGAGACCACCCAAAAGCTAGTTCAAAGAGTGAGGCTTTCCCTCATACTTATAAACTAATCACCATCCCCTTCCACAACCGATGCGAGACAACCTCAACAATCTCCCCCTCACATATCCGACTCTAGGTCGGAGCCGCAACAACCTGTATCTCTCCTGTGGGCTTTGATACCAATGTTGTTAGGAACGTGAATCTTTGAAGAGAAAAAATAAAGAAAAAAATAAGTGATTTTTACATGACGCACTAAGCAATCTCTCCACTATTAGTATCAATATCAGCTTTACAAACTTTAGAGTTACAGAAGTTTATTGTCTGGGGAGAGGTTATTGAGTCCTAGTGGTGGTTTAGCAAATTACGACGGTTGCGCCGGTGACCATTTTTCACCGAACCCGCCAATATTGACTATTGTTTCAACTATTTTGGTTGCTTATTTCAGCCAATTAACACCGCCACTAGACTCATTGCCCTCAGAACTGCTGAATATCAAAATTTCGCCGCCACCCACTACTGCATGCTCTCTCACGCGCCACCCAGTGTGACTACGAGTAAAGCTCACGCGCCTCCGAAGTGCCAATGCTTTTGAGTGTTGTTCTGACGCCATTGGCGGCTTGTTTAAGCAAATCAGCACCACCACCCACCTTTTATTCCGACGACGAGGCCAACGCTAGAAACTGCACCGCCAGAAATCCGCTGCACGTGCCTACATGCGCTAGCACACGTCACTATGGCTGAGATCCATGTGCCTCTACGCGCTCCATGCGCCGCAAGTGCCTACCACTCCACTAATGTCACTCACATGCCATCCACGTGCACGTTCACACCGAATCAGCTGCCACATCAGTGGTTTGACCATTGATTGATCGTTGACTAGTCGTTGACCTCTGACCAGTTCAGTCAAACCGGTCCGATCGGTTCCGAGACACTTTTCTGACCGGTTCAATCACTTTTGAACCGGTTCTTGGCAATCACAGACCGGTTCCCAAGATATTTTGAAGTGCCAAGTCTATTTTTGGCCTTTTTTTTTTTCCTATCGGCTCTCCAGGTTTTGATTTCTTCGTATTTGTTGTCGAATTTACGGTATTGATATTGGTAAAGTGCATATTATGGATAAATGAGGAGTTTCGATGACCAATTGCCATTGACTACGATCTAAGAAACTTCCAGTGACGACCAATCAACCTCGAAACTGCGGTCCCCATGCAAGTTCACCTGCTAGTGTTGCTACTGTTATGGCTTCTCCTAATGGATTGTCTTTCACTCTCTCATTAGATAATCTCCATTCCATTCTTCGAGAGTTTGGTACTTCTAGCTTCTCTATTCCTTTTGTTATGTCTGTCGCTTCAGGTACTTCTGATTTGTGGTATTTTGACTCTGCCTGCTATAATCACATGACTTCAAATTCTGATTTCTTTCGATAAAAAATATTCAATTAACATGCCCCTACTATTCACACAGCTGATAATTTCCAAATGAGAGTTAGCCATACAAGAAACATTTCAACATTTACATTATCATTACCTAATACATTCATGGTTCCCAAACTGTTCCTAAATTTGATTTCAGTAGGAGAATTGTGTAAACTTGGCTTTGATGTCCATTTCTCTTCTTGCACTAAAATATCATTTGTATTCGTATTCTAACAGTGTATTTTTCTACCACATATCAATAGTAGGAATTATACTCTTCTACAAAATTATGAAACAAATTACACGAACTCCCATTTTTTTCTCTTACATCACATCTCATATCGATGGATTACTAGTCAAAAGAAGGGGAGAAGTGCACCAGCAGTCCTAAAACTTATCGAGAAAGTACAATCAAGTCCTAAAAAATTATGAAAAAAGTGCAATCAAGTCCTAAAGTCCTAAATTTATGATACAATCAAGTTACTTATTTTGTTTGGTCCAAATTGATGCCGACATTGCATTTTCTATCGTAACTTGGAGACACTTGGTGCCACATTAGAAAATAGTCTAATTTTTTAAGGGGTTAATACAACAGAAAATCCTAAACTGGTGTACCAATAACAAATTTACCCAAAACTAATTTTTTAACCATAAAAAACAGCAAACTGATACATTTATGAAAAATTTACCCTCCGTTAAATTGGATTAATACCACAAAAAATCACAAATTGTTACACCCTTGACAAATGGAGGGTAAAATCCCGAACCGGTACACCGGTCAATTGCCAGGTGTCATTCAACTCAGAAATTTGACCGTAAAATTTAATAGAAACTAATGGAGGGTAAATTTATCACGAATGTACCAATTTGGGGTTTTTGATATTCACAAAATTAATTTGGGATAAATTTGTCAGAGATGTACCATTTTGGGGTTTTTCGTGGTATTAATTTTTTTAAAAAGAAAATCGACAAAACAATGGTATTTACCGATGCCAGAGTGAATGTTGACCTATTTAGGTGCAGTAAAGATCTTTGCGGAGAGATCTGTAAAGGGTGATTCCAAAATGTTAGCCCTACTATAAATATGTATTCCAAACGATGGGAGCCAGACTAGAGTAAAACTGTGTTAAAATTCATGGACTTTTATCAGTTTCAGGTACGGAGGAAAGTTGAAAGAGCAGAACAAGCGCTTTGAGGATCCGCGTGATATTGGCTAAAGTATTCAGTGGAGGCACTTCTTGTCGTCCTCTTCAGGTGTTGCTCCCTGTTCTTCGAATAGTGGTACTGACCAGACAGCGATGAGATTTCCGGCGAGGAGGCCCCAGTGCATGCACTCCTTCTTGTGAAACAACACGAGAGGTGGCTTTCCGGCGACCACCCGCAGGGGAGCCAGAGACACCGCGAGCGATGACCCTGACTTCTTTTGGAGATCCTTAGGGTTGATTCTGTTTTTCTTTTTATTATACTTTTTCCTTTTTTTTCTCTTTTTAGTCTAATTAAAATAATGCTTTTGTTTTGACATTTGTGCACCTTTGAGTTAAACATTAACGGCGAAGTAGGAAAGATAAATTGATAAATAAAGTCCCTCATTTTCCGTTTATCATTTTGGACGGATTTAACAAAGGAATTTGATTGCATCAATTTGACAATTTTTAGAACTTGATAGTACATTTTGAAAGTTTTAGGACTCAAATACACTTTTGCGACAACTTTTAAGACTTCCGATGCACCTGTAAAAAAAAAATGCACATAGTCATGCCTGCACAAAACGCAGGCTAAGTAAACAAGCGACTAGTAACTTCCTAAAGTCACGAGTAACTTTACAACACCTACATAATGCTAGTGACTCTTAAATGTTGTTAGCATTTATTCAAGTGGAAAAGTAAATTGCCTTATATTAGAATAGTAAGTTTTCCACATTATTGAGTATTTTTTAGTTCTACTCAGTAATTTTGTTGATGTTTACTAACTTGTCAAGGTGAAGCGTAAATGTTGGAAATGGTTAGTAACCTTTTTTAGCTTACCCGTTAGTATAAACCAACTACTTTAGTTGAGTTCTATGCATCAAAGAAAGTAGTTTTCATTAAATCATTTGCTAGTAAGTTTCTCTTCTTAAGAGTTACTCATTTTTGTTGAAACTTACTTCAAAATCGAGACAGCATGTTTGCAGGCGATTTATATTTGTCCGACCTTCTTTCCTAAACAACTTGACAAATATCACTGCCACGATTGTGCTTTGATTGATGAGCCAAGATTTTTTTTTTTCTAGTATGTTTCATCTGGTGGTTCTATATCTCTATCCGCTCATATTGTTTATGTTATCTTGAACCTTCTTTTTGTATCCATCAGCAGAGACATGACCTAATTGGCCAAGCAATGGGTATTACAATTCTTGCCAATCCAATGCCAAGAGTTCCAGACATGAATACCACTATCAATCTTGAACAAGATTTCTACATGAAAATGGGAATCCTAATACCAATCGCAGAAGCAGAGGGAACACCGAAAAGAAAAATAAAAAACAGAAACTTTTGCAGATTTTCTAGTTTAATTGACTAGAACTCTTGAGGATGAATCTCACCATGCTCAGCCCCCTCCTTACCTTTGCGCTTCTCATAGAAAATCTCCCCCATCATTTTCGCAGCTAGCGGCAGACCAGCACTCTTCTTTTCGACCTCTGGTTTCAGCTTGTTGATGTTGTCATCATCCAATTTTTCACCATCTTTCTCGACCTCATCCTTGAATATACACCAGCAGCTCTCAGGGTCCGTGAGCGGTTGCAGGTGGAGCACATTTTGTTCCCCAACCATGGTGTTGGCCACTTTCTCTGACCTGCTTGTGATAATGACTGAACCGCCATAACCTTTGGGCAACCCATCCCAGGCGTCATTGTTGTGCCATGGGTTGGTGTCCCACACGTCATCGAGCACTATCAAGTACCTTTTGCCCAGTAGTTGCAGGTGGAGAGCGTAGTGTAGGCCGCGGAGGCCGTGGCTCTCGATTGAGCTGATTATGTCCTTTTCAACTCCTAGACGGGCCAGTAACTTCTTGGCGGTAGCCTCCCTCAGGTTCTCCGCCATGTTGGGCTGTGGGGATAACGATACCCAGATTCTTGGAAGGAACTGTGCCTTCACTTCTTGTTTGTTGTATACCAATTGGGCTAGTGTCGTTTTTCCGACACCGCTCATGCCGATGATTGCAATTGCGTTGAAAGAGTCGGATGGTTTTCCTGGTTGGAGAAGCATCCTCTCCAAAGTCACCATTTCATTCTCGAGCCCGTGGATTCTTGACTGATTGACCCATGTGGAGCTTCCTCGAAAAGCTTCTAGCCTCTCTGGCAGACGACAGAAGGTCTCATGTAAACTTGCTATGAATTGGTAGATCTTGTGAAGTTTCTGTTTGATCTTGTCCAAGTCCCTACTGATTTGAACAATTGAGGGACTTAGAACTGTTTTAAGAGAGGCGAGGCTTTGCTTCCTTGCTAGCATTTGACACTCTTCCAAGACATTATTGAGGCAGTAGAGCTCCTCTTTGATTGATCTCTCTGCAGGGAACTCAGAGGCTGTGATTTTCTCGAGCAGAGACTCCAGTTCTGCAAAACGGCGATGGAATCGGACTCTCGGGCCGTTGTGCAACTTCGTTTTGAATTTTTCAGTGAGATATTTCTCAATGTTTTTTTCCATTTTGATTCTCTGAGTGTGAACACTCTTCTCTCCTGAAAACTATCTCAATGCTATGTCGTTGGAAATGGCAGCCTAAATGCAGGACATGGATATTTTCCATGCTCCATAACCATTGGAGGAGTCTCAGATGTGGAGGTCACAGAATGGACCCCTCAAATTGACGAATAAACTAGTGCTCATTGTTTGAGACTCGAGTGAATAATTAAACAAGCCATTAACATGAGCCAAAAAAAAAAAAAAAAAAAAACACGAGCCAACTCCTAGCTTTTTACTGTTGTTTGCTGCGAATATTCGGTTGATGGTGTAACCTTTTATGTGGACTTGGCCTACGTAGATTGGGTGCCCGTATGCTGTAGAGTTTATGGACCCCACGTGATCAGAGTCTTGCAGAAGTCTTGTTAGGCAAAAATCAATTGGGAAGAATGGAATAAGATATTGAGACATGAATTCACCGTCTTTAAGGAATTATTTGCCCACAATATTACTAATGATTATTGACAAAAATCTTTCAGGATATAACAAAGTCTCAAAATGAGCATATCATATAACAATTCTGGTATTTCTCCAAGAATTCTAAAAAAGTAAATAATTACAAACAATGACTGTATTTTTCTTTGAGAAAGGAAAATTGAAAAGTAAAAAGTATTGAGATGGAAATGACGGATTTATAACGATGTTTAAGAACATATACAACCTTTCCTCTGAAAAAGTTGCATTTTTAACGGATATTGTTTAAAAAAAACTCTAAATTCAGTAAAAAAAATACTACCGTTTTTTTTTTCGGTTCTTTTAAAAATAACCACTAAAAAAAATAACCGTGACACATTCATATCTTTTTGTTGTGGAAGAAGGCACAGTTTTGTTTGTTTTGCAAACAAACTACCAACAATACCCCCACTTTGTTTATAAAACAAAATTACAAAAATAAAATTCAAAATATATACACCAAAATTTTCATGAGACTAATCTATATACATAAAGGTCTCATTCGTGTTAAGCCTTTATTTAGTGTAAGTATCTCAAACTTCTATAAAAGTTACAAGTAACGGTAGATTTAAACTTTCTACTTTAATAATAGAATCGGATATACCACACATATACTACCCTCTTGTTTCAACCTTGTGCTTATTCTTATTTTATGAGCTCTCTAGAAAGTAACCATAATTTTCGTAAGAAGCGGCATAACTTCTAAGCTCATATAAGTGAAGTATGTACTATGTGTTTTTCATTACTAATAAACACATTACTAATTTGTATTGTACTTTATTAAGAATACAACTCAGCCTACAAAATGTAACAGATGAAAGTAACTTCTCATGCCCGGGCTAATATCAATATCAAACAATTACGTTCGGTAACTTGTTTTTACCCTTTAAACCTTATAACTAGTAATATACTAGTATTTGGTTATGTTTTAGATAATTTTAACATAAAAGATTACGATAGATTTACTTCTAGATAACCTTGCATGCTAGGATAGATTCAAGAACAAATTAGAATTTATTTAGATAAGGTTCCCTTGTTAAGTTAAGATAATTTGAGTAGATTGCATATCTGGGTAGATTCTAGAGGATTACAATAATTTTGCAATTTAAATTAGGATTTGACTTGGATTACTTCCTATTTTAAGTTAGATATTATCTTGCTCTAGAATCTTCATTTTTAGTAATTTTTAATTACGAATTTTAATAAAAAATACAAAAAAATCACCTACAAAACAGAATCACAAGCGGGACGACGGACTGACTCGCAACCACGGGGTCGGCCACGAGGGTGACGCAATAGCAAGAGCACCAACCGGGGCTCGGTGCAGCGGGAGCGGGGCCGCCGGTGGCAGCAGCAGGGCCCCAATGACAAAATGGTGGCGGCAGGAACAGGAACAACAAGTGCTTCGTCGTCGGCAAGGAAGGAAACAACGTCGATGTTAGACAAGGTCACGTGGTTGTAGTGTAAGAATTTCCTAATGTGGGCTTTATTAATTGAAATTAACTGAATTAGTTTGGTCTAATAAAGGTGAGATATGTGGGTTCTTAATAAGTCTAATATGGGGCTGGCTAGTGTGGGCCGAGTACGGCTAGGCCCGTAATGAGAGGGCCCGTGGTCGAAGACTCTATAAATAGCGCTCAAGTCCCTCCCATAACCTGATGATGCACAATCTGACTCACATACGGATCTAAAGAGAAATTTCTTCTCGTGAGTGGCAATCTCATTAGACCAGTGTCCGACAAAGGGTATAGGGGAGATGCACTTGAGTTCGTGTTTGGAAGCCGTCGCCAATTCCGCGTCAAGTTCGATGGATTCCAAACCAGGTACGCGAATAGATAATTTCTCCATTTACGTATTTCGGTTTCTGTTTATGGTGATCCTGAGTGTGCCATTTTCGCGGCCTACATGTGGTATCAGAGCTTGCCATAGATTAGAACTGAAACATGCAGATTAAGACCGTTTTCGTCTTGACCAAGAAGCTTTTTGCCACTTTTTGGAATTTTTGGTCAAATAAAAGTTGAATTTTATTGTATATTTGGAATCTTATCGTCGAGACGAGAAGATTGACGGGCGGCACATCACCAGGGGAGGCCGCACGCGCCCTCACGCGCCAACACACGCCCTGGGCGCGACAGCGCGTGACGGACACGCGCGGTCGTGACGAACCGGTGCTTCTCTCGCCGGTAACCACCGGTAACCGTCGATAACCACTGACATGACGTCAGCAGGGGCGCGGATCCGGGTTGACCCGGATCTTGACTCGACCTGACCCGACCCGATTATTGACCCGACCCGACCGATGACCCGACCCGAATGTCGATCCGACAGTTGACCCGATCGGTCAATCGGTTGGACCGGTTCGTTGACCATTGACCGGTTGGACTGGTTAACCGATCGGACCGGCTGAACATGCACGCATACGCTTCGTTTTCCGGCGGCGCGTGAGGGTGCATTTGGCGTCCGTTTGGGACGTTCTTGGTATCGACGTACTCATATCGAGATTCTCTACATTGTGGTTGATTTATTTTACATGGTTGAAGCTTTTAAAGATGTGAAAATACATGTAGAAACCTATATGCACGTATTTTTAGGGTATTTTTACGTATTTTCTTGTATTTCTCTATGGTTTCGGAAATGCATATGGTAGCTCACATGTATATCACCACATAAGAACTATGTAGAGTGTAATTCATTGTCTATCAATGAATGGAATAATATAATTAGCATGACATGTAATTTCAAAGATCTACGCCCCTATCTTTATATCTAGCATTACATGTATGTAGTGAATGTGATACATAAAGCTCATATCCTTGGTATAAGAGATTTTCAAAGATTCAGTTGGCTAGTGACTGCCAAAGTGGTACACTTGACTGGGTTTGAGAAATATCAGTCTCATATTGTGGTGGGATGTCTCATGTTCTAATGCGTGGTCATACTCCCAAAGGAGGTGATTTTGTATTGGTTCATGGAGGGATACATGTATGGCATGTGCTTAAGGAATGACTGATTTTAGTAGTTCATACACCCAAAGGTGGTGATTTCACGAAAGATTAGAATATGTTCTCATGGCCGTTGTCATGTGAAGAGTGTACAATTGCATGTCATATTTTCTGCCCAAAGGTGATTATGTGATGATGTATGCAACTCTCCACATAAGTACTCACATGATGCTGATTGCATTGTTTGTTTGTTTTCCAGTCACCTTTTCTGTAAATGGCAATTCCATTTCCATTGAGGTCCTTACTGGGTTGAATTTTAAGAAATAGAAAGAGGATTTTCTATTTGGAATGGAGTTGGCAGATGTTTATATTGCTCTTACAAAGGATAAGCCGGCAGATATCATGGCCACCGGTACTGAAGCTAAGAAAGCACACTATGCTACTTGGGAAAAGAGCAATTGAATTTGCTTATTGACAATGAAGAAATCCATTCAAGAACACTTGAAAAATGGTTTGCCAGCTAACTGTACTGCTAAGGAAATGATGGTACTTGGGTCGCTATTTTTACACTTGATAAATCAATCAATATATTAAGGAATTTTAATAGTCTGATTTGTTTAGCTGGTGATATCTTAGCCCATTTCTGGTTTCAAAAACACCAAGAAAAACCCAAAAGAACTCAGCAAGTTAGGATTGAGATAGAATTAGAAGAAAAAGGGGAGGTTGAGTGGAGGCGGTGCTGTGACCTGTGTACTGTGACCTGTGTACCACCACTGTGAACTTGGGGTTTTACTTTGACTTTGCTCTTTCTGAATGAAATTAAACTTTTCTTTATGAATCTGCAGTTGCAAACTCTATTCATGAGAATAATAGTGTCCTGCAGTAGAAGATGTGGAATTCAAAGTTTTTTTGTTTTGAAGTTTGATCTTTATGGGGGTCGTTTTAGCAGAATCTGCACGATCAGGTCACAGAACATCTTTTTATATGGCATATGGACTTACGAATCACGAGCAACATATGGTTTGATTGATTCTTTTCATCGACAAGCATAGTTTCTTTCTCAGTGCATTGTTTATGATGGTGATGGAATCGCATTTTGCAATTCAAATTGGTGTGCCACAGATGAGCCGGGACTGTTTCATATGCTTAACGCTGAGGGGTAAGAGAGGAATTATGAGGGTCTGAAACCGAAAAAGGTCTGCGTTGTTCTTCGTTGGCAGAAGTTCTACATATTTTGAATGCACTGACTGGGGGTTACATGATGTTAATTTTAGCCTAAATCGAAGATGGCGTCGATTGAACATTTCAGCCACCCACACTGGTTGACAAGACGCGTGATCAAGGATAATGAAGAAGCTAAATGCCTTGCTTGCATGAAACGCTGCTTGAATCAATACTATAGCTGCAACAGATGCCGATTTTTTCTCGACGAGGAGTGTGCTAGGTTGCCGCTGGAGTTCTGCGGACATCCCTTGCATCCTGCCCACCCTTTGACCCTCGAGCCAACGGCATATTACATCGGAAGCGTCTACTGTGATGCCTGTGACAAAAGATGCAGCGGTTTCACATTTC